ATTTTTAATTATTAAATCGTGCAAAAATTTAGACCAGATTTTAAACTTTAAATTTCAAACAAACCTTTTTGATAGAACTGAACAAAGCCGGCTACATTTTTTTCTTTTTCTTTATTTTTTTACCTTTTTTTATTTGCTTTGTGAAATCTTTAATAATTCTTTAATCTGTACTTGAAGAAACCAGTAGGGTAGAGTTGCAACGTTGGCATGATGACTGTCTCAACAAGTTTTTAAAGCTTAAACATTAATTGCTGTGAGTGCACAAGAATAACTGAGGTTAACTCAGATGAAGAGAAACTATAAAGGAAGGAATCTGTCTTTAACTGTTTGTCAGCTTTACACTTGCCGGGTCCTGTGAGGTGTCAGTCACTTTCTTCTTGGGGAAGAAAAGTCAGAAATTCACAAAACAGAAAAACAAAAATAAGACTTGTGTTATGGATTTAAAAAAAAGATTACCCACTATTTTCCCTTTCTGATGACTGCAAATTAAAAAAAAACAAAACTAATTATCTGTCTTTCTGTTTATTTATTTTTTTGTTTGATTTCCATATTGAATTAAATAATTGAATGATTCGAGGATAACAAGGACCAGCCAGGCCAACTGTTTCTTTCTGTTTTCAGTCTTTGTGCTAAGCTAAGCTAAGCTAACCAGGCCGCAGTTTTATGTATGTGATCCAATTCTCTGCAGTGTAAACACCGAAATGTTGAACTTTTGCTGTAAATTGGAGTTAAATCCATCAGCAGGCTGTATTGTGATCAGTCTCTATTGCTTGTCTATTCATGTGCTCGGATAGATGTTTGCAGCACATGCAGTCGTGTCTCTCTGACAGACTGAAGCTGAGCTGTGGAAGTCTGTTGAGACCATGGGAGTGGGTGAGCTCAGTCACGTGTGATATTAACCATCTGAAAAAGTCAACCTATTACCTAGTTAAACATTAGTCCCAATGTCTCTAAAAACAGTTAAGATACAACTAAATCTGGGAGCCCTCTCTGTTACATAGAACTGTCATGCTGTTGCCTGTGAAATTGCTCCCAATAAAGAAAGTTAATTAAAAAAAAAAGACTTAATGACTGATCGCTGTTCTCTGTTGCTCTCCTGTTAGCTACGGCTATACTTTAAGTGTAGAATATTTGATGTGAGGCAGCAACAACACATCTTCATATTTCTTCCAGAACTACCAAATGTCTGACTGCACACCACTGAGTCCACTGTTACCTGAGCCAAAGCTGTGGAGAATGTCAGTGCTGCCCTCTAGTGTCAAACGTAGAGACTGCAAAAAGAGCCTCCATTCAACAAAGCATTTCACTCCAGAACGGAGTAAACACTAGTGAGGAGAGCCAGTGAGAGTCAAGCATTAGTAGTAGTGATGTGCTGACTTGTACTGGTCTGAAATTATCTGAATGTGGCAAATTTAACCGAGTTGATTGACAATTACACTTAAAATTAGAATAATAAAATATAGCAGAGCCTTTCTGTACAATATTTCTTGTTAATATCAGTATATTCTAAGTGTAAATGGCATTTAGGATGAGCCAGCATATTCCAAGAACTGTTTTCATATTTTTCTTAAAGTTGTATAAGTTGTTTTGATATTGAGGTCAGAAATTGTATTTTAAAATAATAGTGTACAATGTACAGACGCTAGTGTGTTTAGGCTAGCAAAAGTGCTATATAAGCTCAATTTAAGGCAGTTCTGTTGACCATAAAGGCAGAGACGCCGCAACGGGGCAGGCAACCCAGGCAATTGCCTAGGGCCCCGAGCTGAAGGGGGCCCCGAGCTGAAGGGGGCCCCGAGGGACGGCTGACGTCAATGACAAAATAATGGAACTGCTTTAGACGCTCCACACAGGGCCCTTTCCGAGTTGTCACTGGCTAGTTGCTAGTAGTGGCCCCCGACAGACAGCTGATATCACTCCATATCAGTGACACAACTTGAAACCCCGTAGACACTGCAACGACACGTCGGGAATCTCCCTAATGGGGCCCCTTTAGTACTAGCCAGCATCGACGTGCGGTCCCGGTCAAACACACAGATGAAAAAATGAAGCGAACATATCTCTGGGGACACGAAAAGAAAAAAAACAAGAAGAGGATGAAAAGAACAACGGTGACAGTGGTAAGTGGGAATGTGTAAGCTATGTGTGTTACATTATAAAAAAGTAGTGCTGCCAGCCAGCCTGCCACTTTATCCCAAACTCCCAGTCATCCACCAAGCACCAAAAACGTTTACTGCACATTAAAGTCTGTGTAAAGTGAATTCAGCCATTTTCTTCTAAACACATTCATAGCCACACAATAAGTTAGTCCTTTGCTGCCAATGCCAATGATATTTTCTCCCAGAATAAAGCAGTTGTTGTCAAATGTTAAAACCGATACCAGCATCAGTTCTGCTGTCAGTTCAGTCTAAACTGGTTCTAATTTCTATTTGGAATTATGTTTTTTAAATGTGAGCTGCTGGACAACTGAACTTCCCTTCGGGGATAAATAAAGTATATCCTATCCTATATATCCATACATTTTCTGCTATAGCCTAAATGTTACATTAAATAAAATGTTAACATGAAGCATTAAAGTTGTTACTGCAAATGGATGTTCATTAATTATTCCATACAGATCTCAAATGTTGTGTTTGTGTAGCATGCACATTTCTTTACTTTACTTTACGCAAGCCAACCAAATACATTGTGCTCTTTTCTTTTTTCTTCCTCAAGGTGCTTTGTTGAAGTTTTTTGGCCCACAACAACAACAACAACAACAGCAGACCTCTACACATCAAAGTAGGAACTTATTTAGTTTCCTTTTTAAAGTTAAGATTACAGTGACTTGCTCTCCCATTTAAAATATATCATGTGGATATTGGACCACACCAAGCCAAAAAGTTCAAAAGGTGATATTTCATCATTGGAATATAAATTGTGTTTAGTTCAGTTAAATATTGATAGTGCAACGTGTCATCAGAATGTGGAAAGATGGTACTATTTTTATTTTTGTTTCCTTTTATTGCTCTTAAGATGTGTTTAAAGTACATGGTTTTAATGCAGCTACAGTGTTGTCTTTTTTGCTCATCAATTAACACATCGTGAACCATCAGTTATAGAGTCAGTGTCGGGTAAACATTTTCAAAACAGAAAAAGGTTTGGAAATCTCAGAATTGCTAAAGTAAATATTTGCTCATCATTCATTGGAATCTTATATTTCCATTTATGTGGAATGGCAGAACAACGTCACAGACATTACAGAAGCTTGGCAGTGAATTGGAATAAATAAAGTTCCAGTACTAGCAAAAGAAAGAAATTCAAGCTAAGCTAAGAAAATGAGCAGATAGAAAGAATGTATTTTAATGCAACTGTGGAGTTCAGGTCTGCTCATTTTAAAGGAGGCAATAGGCTCAAATACTACAATCACTCAGTACATTATGTAAGTACATTTTTATACATGATCTCGACTGTGATAGATTCATTCAGCTTGTGCAGATCTGAGAAATGTGTCAACTAAATAAAGGCAATCCATATCTCACACACACACACACACACACACACACACACACACACACACACACACACACACACACAGACACAGGAAATGACACGCAATTTAAAATCCTACAATAAACTCAGGGGGTGAAAACAGAAAATGTTTCACTTCTGTTTCATTTTCGTTACGTGCTGTGGGTTCTGACACAGGATACCACACCAAACTATTACGCTGCTGGTAGTTACACATTTCCTCTGGAATGTAACACAGCACAAACCTGCAACACTTTCTTTGTAACTGTGAGAGTCAAGGAGGTCTTGAATTTTAGGGCCAATACTCTGTGAACCTCTGAATAACTGGGCTGCATGCCTCTGTCCCATCTCGCATTTATTGACGTGACACTTGTCAGCATGGAGTCAGGAGTCCAGGTTGTGCTGAGGTCCACATGGACCCTTAACTGCCTGCCCGCCTGTAATGCGACTAATGAGCTCAACAGCTCCGCATCGACATCTGTCTGAGCAACAGAGGCAGAGATATCCTGACTTTTAGTACCAAGTACGGGTCAAGGTCCAAAAATCACTGGATCCTGCTTATCCCATAATGCTCTGTGTACAAAAGGTGGGTCTAAATTAATGACATGACATATTCTTTTACTATCAATGGGCTAGTTTCTATTTCTTCTCTTAGATTAGTCCAGTGCCAGTGTGTGCGTGTAGCTGCTGTGCATAGTTGATGACTATGTAAGTTTCAGTATGATGGTAGGATGTGAAACAACCACTCTCCCAGAAGACTTGTAGAACATGTGATGATATTATTTATCATTTATCTTTTTCAATTGCAACATTTCTACAAAGCAGTAGAGGAAAAGTACAAAAATATCTACATTGTATTATGTTTGTATCTATATAATATTAAGGCTTTTTCAAATTTTGGGTAATCTGTTTAATTGGTTTTTAACTCATTAAAATGACATTTTAATGTTTGATTCTTTGAACTGTTGCTTTGTTGGACTGCTGAAACTATGTCTATTAGAGAAAATGTAAGTTGAAGGTATTGGAAATCAACATGAAATAAAATAAAAAAAACATTTTAAAAAAGAAAAAGGGGGACACAAAAGGGCATATAGGCAACACATGAATAAAATATATAACTAAATTACGATAAATGAATATGTTATATGAGCAAAATTGAACATGAGAAAAGGGAGTCAGACAGCTGATCTTCTGATTTATTTATTTATTTTTTTCATTTTTGCTCAAACTTATCCGGATATTGTGAAAATACAATACAATAATGACAAAAAGTAGTTTTTCTAAAAGTGACACAGTGCAGCTTTAAGTCACCACACGGTGGCTTTAGATTGATATTCTGGTCTCTGACAGTAGCCAGCAGTCAGTAACAGACTTTATTCACCGAGTTCAGCAGAGGAGAAAAAGGCCCGAGACATTGACTGCAGAGCGCGTGAGAGATGGAGCGCGTGCACAGCCACGTCCGGTCACGTCAGTCGGCGGTGACGCACCCAACTTTCACATGTTTCTACTCGGACGCCTTAAAGTCAGGGACACCGCAGTGTGCAGCAGAACTCGACTTTACTTCACTTTCGATGTGTGTTTCTGGGACTTTGCGGGTTTCATCGCCTCGTGGAGGACAGTTCATTCTGAGACCCACTTTTACCTCAGTCAGGTTTCAGGTTTCAAGTTTATTTAAGAGTTTTTAAGAAGCATGGCCTGTGAAGGAAACGGGATGTCAGGTAAGCTCGATAAAACCCATTAATGAACATTTGTTTTCCCCCACTGCCGCTATACGTTGGATATAACGGTGACAGCATTTACACTGCTTATGTTACATAACGCTGTGTTTTAACTGATTCATAATGTTGGTTTGATTCCTCCACAGATGAGAGGATAGGGGAGGCCCTGATCAAAGAGTAAGGTTCCTTGAATTTCACCTTATTGTTCATGTTTAAATTGTTTGACACACTGCATTGAAGACAAAAGTGACAAACTTCAGACAGAATTGGTGATAAAAGCAAACCGTCCAGAAGAAACTAGGAAATAGCCTGTTACTGTTTTAAAATGAAGACTTGTTATACTAGAAATTAGGACTGCAGCCAACTCATATCACCATTATCTATTAATACCACTTCATTGATATTTCTGTATTAATCATCACACAGGTAAGTTCTCATGTTGTAACTTAGCTTTTCCCACTAAGTTATAACCTATTATAAACCAAATTATTAACTGGGTTAATCATTAACCGGTAATAATGAAACTGGCCTAAAGCAGGTCATTTCCTCAGGCCAGTGTATCTAACATCCACAGCTGAACACAGACATAAAAGCCTGAAGATAACTCTTCCTTTCATTAATAGTCTGTTATTTGTTTACCTGAGGCTGTGCTGCAGGTTTGTAACTGACAAACAACCAAACTCTGCACCCCCAGATTCCTTCTTCTTTCAGGAGTTTCAGTTTCATGTTCCAGTGAACGCTGTGTGTTACGATAAACGGATACCCATCATAAACAACGGGTTGTAACTGCTGTCAGGTGACTCATGTGCCATAGGGAAGATAAGAAATAGAGAACGTCACTGAAGTGTGTAATCCTTTGGATTGTTTCCTGTTATCTTAAACATGGCAGTGTGCACAGAAATCAGCCGCGCCATCTTTTAGTGTGTATCTATTGTTCCATCAGCAGAGCTTTTTCCACTGCAGGAGAAAGGTTGAGCACAACATCCTGTCAGTGGTAGCCTTAAAAACAACAGTCTGGCTGTTTGACTGCGGTCTTTTAGTATCCTTTGGGTTCTGGGAAGGCATCTCATGTCAACAATATCATGTCAGGGGGAAACTTTCCAAACCCGGGCCAGAAAAAGATCTGGAAATCCTGTTTACATTTGCTAAAAACCTGGGGACTTTGCACTCGCAGAGCTGGATTTGTTATGGGACCTTAGATTTCTTCTGTTCTGACTATTCGTGATGCTTTTTTGAAACTATTTTAGAGGAGCTCCAACATGTTGCATGTTTGACACAGCACATGTGATGTATATAATACAAGCATAATATATATAATATATAAAAAAAAATAGAAATTTACTTATCTTTCTAACTTATTTCTCCTTCTTCTTTACCACCACAATCACTCATGGTCGATGAGACACCTTCTGTGTGACACATCCCATGCTAGTTTGCTTTCTGTTGCTCCTTTGTTCAGGTTAATGAACTTGGCACAGGAATCGTGCTTCAGATAAACACCGTGGGTAATAAAGGGTTGACGTCAGTGAGAGCTGCATCTATTCTATAATTGGTATCAGAATGACAGATACCGGTTCAGTCAGTCTGGTTTAAATCAGTTAAAATGTCATTGGTTAAAGCTGGTAGCTAACACTGCGGGGACCAAGTCACAGCCTGGTTGTCAACAATCTCTCATCTACTCACCAAATCCACATGATGGGTGCTTACAGGCACAATATTGCTGATATTAAAACAAAGCGTGGGGTGCAGTCTATATCCTAGTCAACAAAAATAATCAAGCTCATGTCCCGTAAGTCAATTATTGCGACAGGCCTGCTATTTCTACTTTAAAAAACGTTATAAAAATATGGTGACAGCCATGCGCTGCAGTGGAAATCCCATAATGTACAGTGAGTAGCGGTTAGTTTGGGGGGAAAAGACGGTATTTTAACATTCTGTTCTCCTCCAGGGTCATACAGGAGGAGCTGAAAGACGTGCCCAGAGAGGACGTCCCACCCCTCACCCCAGTGACTGGGAAAGTAAAGGAGGAGGAGGAGAAGGTGGTGAACCAGCTGGCCAAAATAACCCGCATTATCGGCGACAGGGTCAAAGACGACGCCGAGTTAAAAGAGTGAGTCTCTCAGCCAACTTCTGTTGCATATATGTTGTATAAGTGAGTTCCTTAAGACGCTTTTCAATCTTTGACCATTGTCTCTTGTGTCTCTGTTTCAGTGCGATAGATGGGTTCATTGGTTGCCCCAGCTCCGGCTCTATGTCGGACAGATTTAAGGAAGTGGCAAACAAAGTGTTAGAATCTGGCATCACCTGGGAGAGGATCGCCGTGCTTTTCTACGTCGCCGGCAAGCTGGCTCACAGGGTGGGTTGGCACTCGTTGTGCGCTTTTCTGGTTTTTGTCTGTGCCTTGTTTTTGGTCCAGGGATAGATATTTGCAAGATATGCATCAAAAAGTGGGCAATGTCGTATGACTAGCTGCTCTATGAGAATGCTTGTGTTTGTGTCAGTATTTTGTCTGTTCAGCTGTAGAGTCTTTAGCACTGTTCTTATTTTTTAGTCTACTGTCCAAAACTGTGGATGATACTAATGGAACCGCTCCACCCAGATTTAGGTATGAGCAAATAGAGGTTGGTTACATGATTAATGGGTACTATCCTGAAAGTGTTTGGTAAAAGGGGATTTTTCTGCATACCAGAGGGGCTGCTAACTAATAGCTATAGTGGAACTAGACGTAAAGAGATGATGGTTAGACTACTGAGTGGGCCATATCACACGTTTAGCCTACTTAAGTTAAAGTCACAGTTTAGCCTACGCAGATTGTGTTTATATCAGACCGGATGAAGCAGCTGAATATCTGCTCTTTGCTTGGGTAAAAGTAGTAGCTCAGTACATTTCAGTTTAGGCTTCAGCAGCAGCTTCACTTTGTGTGTAAACCTTGTGTTTTTGTTGGCTGTGTGTCTTGTGTGTGTGTGTGTGTGTGCATGCGCGTCCATCAGATGGTGGAGGCCCATATCCCTCAGTCAGTGAGGGACATCCTGAGGTGCACCGTGGAGTTTTTCAGGAACAATCTACTGGGCTGGATTCGGAAACATGGAGGATGGGTAGGCTTTCATTTCTTCCATTCTTTCTTTCAGAGCACTTTCCTGTCCCATGATAGTTCTGTGGTCACAGGAACACTGTAGTAACACTCAGACCTTTGTTTGTGTAGCCTCACTGTGTGAGATTAAACAGCCATGTGTATGAGGGCGTATTTATTTCATTTTCACAGTGAAATGGATTGTAAAATATATGGTGAGCAGAGTCTACTCACAGTGGGGAATGATGTCAGGTTGAGCAGTAGGGGGAGCTGTTTAACCACCACACTCCAAGAAATTACCCACAGGGAAGTTGCCCTCATTTCAGCAACACAGCTTCCTTCTGTTTAATTGTTGCCCAACCTGAATATAATTCCCTTTAAATTCAACATATTAATGGTGAATTTAGCTTTTTTTTCTTCATTATCATTTTAAACACAATATTTGTTTGTCAGAGAGTACCTGAAACTCTACTCTACTCTCTACCTGGTGCCGATAAATATTCAGTTTAATAAATAAAATACAAAAAGATAAAAATAAATGACTAAAAATGGTTTTGTAGGCAAATATATACAAACATCCACACATTCATATCCACAAATCACTAATGTACATCCATACAACAACAGTTGTGCTGAAAACAGTATGAAAGTATTTGCAAAAGTACATAAAGTAAAAGGAAAGTATGTGACAGGCAGAACATAGAATCCTGGGACTTAATGTAAGGAGGAGCGATAAGATATTAGCTGGTTATTGACATTTAAAGTAAAGAGCAAACAAGAGTGAGGGAGGAAACTGTGGTCAAGAGCTAGCAAGTGAATGTGAGAAATGAAACTTTTTGCTGCTGGTTTGAAGGTAAATTACGTTCGAAAACAGACTCATCAGCGTCACCGTATTAACTCAGAAAGCATCAGTCTAGCCACAGAGAACAACAGGATGAAAACCAACTGCATTTCAAACGCTGCCGACTTTTTAAAATCTAATAAACACGTTAGAGCCGTTCACTGGTCCAAAATGATGGACCCAATTAAAAACAGACCCGTAGGAATCCTACCTAAATCCTACATGCATGAACTAATTAATAAGACCCAATGTAAATACACCCCAGCGCAATTAGAACCGATCCACACTTCATATTGGTATCTGCTACAGGCAGAGCATGAGTGAGCTCAGTCTGCTATCCCACTGCTCTGCTCGGGAGGGCTAACCCTTCAAGGTTTTGTGTGTCTCACAGAGAGATTGTATAGGAAAGTTGCGTAATTTCTGTTTTTTCCTCTGATGTCGTGCAGCTTTTCGGCCTCAACTCTCAGGGATTTATGAGTTTATTGATGGACATTTACTTATTAGTTCTACATTAACTGCTGCTAAAAGCCCGGACACACCAACCAGATTATCGCCGTCGGACATTGTCGGACAGTCGGGCGAGGTCGGTGACTCGAGTCAGTTCGGTGTGTCCCGTGCCGTCGTCAGTCGGAGTCGGCGTTCATTTTGGCCGATACGACATGTAGAATCAGCCAGTGGCCGTCAGCCTCAATGACCAATCTGATTGGTGGAGTGCTAGCCCTTGACAGTGAGTGCACGAGAAAACCCGAAGTGACGATGGTAAACACACTACGCCAACGCCAGTATCTTGTTGTTATTATTAGCCATCGTATTTTCCGTTCAGCGAGTAATGACGATAACGATCCTTCTCGACTACTATCGACACTCTCTGATGATGACTGACGACAGCGTGCTCTGTGTTTACTAGGTCTAGACTGATCCATCCTTTCCGGTTTTAAACACAGATGAGCGCCGCCTGCTGTTATGGGGATGTATTACGCCTCACGCACGCGCTGAACGTACGCTCCAGTCGCCGTCGGTTTGGTGTGTTCGGAGGCCCTTTTTTTACCGACTCGGGGAGACGGGAGCCGACTGATCAGTCCGACTGCTTTTCTGCCGACGGTCGGCCGTCGGGTTGCTGTGTCCTGACCTTAACAGACTCTGCTCTGGTGCTCTGGCTTCCAGTTCCGGCTAACTTAGCTGCAGGCTAACCACGTAAAATCAGCTACAGTAAGCGGCTAAAGTGGTTAATAACAAGTAGCCCAGGTTAAAGCAGAGCAGCTGGTGTGGTCCCCAGAAACACTCTGCTCTGGAGGGGGCTTATAATTTTTCCAACCAAATTCTTGTCTCACTTGTGGTCTGAACAGTAAATTCATCAAATTCAGTGTCCCCACATCGCTACTGTCACCCCATCGAGAGCACCGTTAAAAGGACACTGTTCCTCAGCGAAAGTAGGCTTTTAGGGAGCGAGGGGGCTTAGAGAGACAGCTTGTTTCGGACTGAACTGACGGATGAAAGACCAGTATGAGATAAATAAGCATATTATTGAACCATGAATCATGCAGAGCTACTCTAGTAGAGTCTCAGACTAAGACTGTAGAGCTGGAAATTAGTGTAATATGTCCACTTAAAGTCATAGAAACGCATTACAAAAATAATTTATTTATATGTTTCAAACTCTCATTTAGTATTTATAGGTTCCATTTAAAAGTATAAATGTTTCCCATTGTGATGCAATACATGATCTCTCCACAGATCAACAGTTTCTCAGATCTGGCGATGGCGTCCATGCAGAGCGTGTCATCAATGAGCTCTCAGAGCTCTGCCCTCGCCCTCATCTTCATCACCGGCCTGGCTATAGGAAGCTTCATCAGCTGGAGACTGACCAGACAGTCCTGAGGCGCGCGCACTTACACACAACACACACACACACACACACACACACACACACACACAAAAACACAAACACTCACAAACTCCAGACCTGAGACCTCCAGGTCTCAAATAATTCTAGGCATTTACCAAATCGGCCTTTGAGCCGAGTATTAAATGTTTACCAGAGGGTTTATTATTCAGCGTTGTCATGTAATGACAACGTGTCTGACAAAGAGGCCGGATGCTGCCACCTCCTGATTACATGTTGCCATGAGATGGTCAAATCGTAAAATGTGCTTGGACCTCAAACACAATCTATTTTTCTACCCTCTCAAATGTTATTTATGCAAACATAAGTGAAACGTACTGTATCTGGGAGGAGCCCTCCATACTGAATAATATATTATAATATAAGTAATTATGAGACAGAACATCTACAAATGCCAATGTGGGCTTTATTATGGCCTCTTGTTTAACAGTGGTAAACAGGTGCTAACACTGGGTGGGACCATCCTAACGTAGTGTGTTCTTACAGCTCTACCTGTGTGAAATGGGTACTTGCACATCAGATTTCGATACCCTTACTTATTACTGTGTGAAATAAATAGACAAATAAACAAGTTACCAATGAATTAAATTCTTCAGCTGACTATGTCTTTACCTGGTGCCGATAAATATTCAGTTTAATAAGTAAAATACAAAAAAATTTTGGTCCACACCCCTAAACACCCACGGCACAGTCACACACATGCAGGGCCATCGCCTGTTGAGGCGAACTTTGCTGTTAGTTGAGGACGCGACTCAATTTCACATGTGTGACCGTGTAGTTTTTCCACAAAGACTCGCCCTTTTCTGCCACTGATTGGCTAGTGTTTGTTGCCTCCATTGGTTTGGTTTAGGCATGAGGAGTGAGATGGTTTAGAAAAAATGCCAGGGTCAGAGGCAGAGTAGGGGCGGATCTTCACAGAATGCGGATGGGGGGAAAAAATGGGTATGTTTTCATTAGTGTACAATCAGCTGAATATAGGAATCGATGTACTTTTGTTACTTTAGAATGAGCTGTTTGTATCGACAGATGCTGCGGGTTGCCTTCAATGGATTCATGTTTCTACAGTAACCCAGAACGGACAAACCAAACACTGGATAGGGGTGTTTCACGACCAATGTAACTTCTCCTGTGTGCTAGGAAGGGGAGGGTGAATTGAAGGAGTTGCAATCTGCAACAACACTGCCATCCAGGTATATTAATGGTGACCAAAGTACATTTAGCAACCCATTTTAGCATTTTGCAAACAGAGAGAAAGTTTGGTGTTATGTTAGAAGACATTCAGATAGATATTTTATAAGCACGGACAGTAAACATGTCGATGTCATTTGGCGTTTGTTTCAATCAGTTTGTGGCTCACCTGCTGTTGTAAAAACGGAATCCCAGTTGAAAAAATCCCAAATAACGTATTGTGTTTTTTAGGCAACCAAACTAAAAGCGATTGGGTGTTTTTTCGTTGGTGATGAGAATAAGGAAGCAAGGTTAGCAAATTAAAGTAGTAAATGAATGAACATTAAAATAAAGTGGAGAACTGAGGGACCAGTGTGTAAGTTTCGAATTGCAACTCCCCGCTTTACCCTCCTTTTCCAAGTGTGTAGAAGAAACTATGGTGGCTGCGAAACACGTAAAAAGAGCCAGTGTTTGGTTTGTCTGTTCTGGGCTCCTGTAGAGGACCCCCTCTAGATAAAATAGCTCATTCTAATGTAACAAAAACACCAATATTCTTACTTTCAGGTGATTGTACACTAAAAAATAGATCCTCTTAAATGTTACGCAGTGGACCATTAAGCAGAATTAAAATGGTTAATTAAGAAATAATAATAAACTACTAGAAATTAGAAATTGAAATTGGCCTTAAAAAGCCGGATCAGGGCACCTTTACTCATTATAACCTTGCAGGCTTGTCTAGCTGTACTGTACGAAGAAGCACGACTTTAAATCACAGGGAAAGATGTGACAAAGTTTGTTTATACAATAAGGATTTGTAACAAGCTGAGCTTCCTCTTTATTACAACTCCCATGAATATTCATACACATTTATACTTATTTTCTTTTAAGTTATTTGTTTGGCCTTTTTATTGGCTTTATTTGATAGGGACAGCCGAAGATGGACAGGAAAGGGGGGCAGAGAGAGGGAATTACACGCAGCAAAGGGCCCTGCTTCAGTACATGGGCAACCGGCTCCACCGACTGAGCTAACCGGGCGCCCTTATACTTATTTTCAAAAGTATTTAACCACAATTATGATCCTTCCAAAATAATTTAGCATTTCTGTATGAGTAAGATGATGTAGAAGTGTATAAGTTCCACATTTTATAGATTTTTCCAAAGTCAGTCTATTTTAGACATAAGTCAGTTTCATTTAATAATATAATATCACAAAAAATACACTTTAATGGGGGAAATGGAATAAACTTCGGAAGAGCAACAGATGATAGATCCGTCTTCAGGGCTGACAGACATGCAATAGATGTCGTAAATAGACCGACAGGACAACTTTACAGTCCGGACAATCATGGTGACAATATTATATATGATTGAGACTGAGACCAAGTTGCCTGAAGGGTGAAGGTAACAGGTTGCAGTAATTAAGGAATAAGAAAGGGTTAGGGAGAAAATTGTGTCAGGACAAGTTTTACACCAGCACAAATAACATGAAGGAACTCAGGTGTTACATCACGTTTAATGTATTTCCAATATGTTCTTCCATCTAGTTGAGAAATAGTGTATCTGTGTTAAATGTTGCCTGAATAACAAACTATCATTGCACATTTTATTCTGTATCATGCAGTTGTGGTTTAGTCAGCAAGCATTTTGATTACCTATAGGTGTCATTTCCATTCATATAGGACACTAAACTCTGCACATTGGGTACAAACTGCATTAATATGTGATTTCCACTAACAACAAATTACGTGACATTCTCATCAATATTTACATTGTTGAATAATGAACTCATAAATACAATATCAATGAATTACGCAAAGGTTTTCAAAAGGAAAATAAAAGAACAACAGCAGTTTTACTCAAAATGATTTAATGTATTATTGACAGACAAAACATTAGTGTTCCTCATCCCTCTGTCATCCACACTAGTTGAACTTTTTTCTGTCTCATGTGCATTCAGTTTTTGAAAAGTGTCATACATATATATATCTACATTTTTTATTTTATATTTTCTTTTTAAACCACATTACTTTTACTCTTTGTAAAACTGTGCCTTTTTAAATTGTAAAATCATGGTGTAAATCATGTCTGGAGGAATCTCTATCCTGTTAATGTCACTTTGCAATACAAGAGGTACTTTCTGTACATGAAGTGAATATTAAAGCCATGTTTTCAAAGTGTGACTTTGAGCCTTTGTTGCCTTTTTGGTGGGGTTGAGTGGTTGCTTGTCACCAAAGATGGAGACAAAAATGAGCAGCGAAAAAACAAAAAAGATGAACAATTTATACTGAAAATCTTCATCTTTCAGTTGGTACTTTCTGGCACCGATCAGCCATAACATTCCCGGTCTGCAGTGGTCAGTACCTATTAAAAGTGGTCCCAGGAAGGTAAAGCGGTGAACCGGAGGCAGGGTCCCCGAGGTTTGCTGATGCACGTGGGGAGTGAAGGCTGGCCCGTGCGGTCCGATCCAACTGATGAGCTACTGTCGCTCAAACTGCTGAAACAGTTAATGCTGGTTCTGATAGAAAGTGGTCAGAACACACAGTGCATCACAGTTTGTTGGTATGGGGCTGTATACCATTATGACCACCAGGGTGCCCAGCTGGTCACAATGTTATCGCTGATTGGTGTATTTATTTAGCATATATATAGGATATTTTTCAGTCCATAACTTTTTACAAGAAAGTCTGAGATGTAGTGAGCAAATATGGATGATTTAATATTGTATAGTTCTGACTCATAGTTCTGATGATTCATGAAGTGGATTTCTGTACCAAAGTTCATGGCAATCCATCCAATTGTAGTTACTTCGTCAATCAAAGTGATGGACAGACTACAGACAGACTAACATTGCCATCCCTAGAGCCGCGCTCCTAGTCTGGCTAATAACAACCAGTGACTACTACCCACGTCTGCAGAACAAACTCTCAGTGTGACATGTAATGACCCTGTAAGATGGCTGTAATTGTACAGTGTGTGGAGGCCTTTGGATGTGAGACCAGAGAAGATTGCAGTTTACAGTCTTTCATTCTCTTACTTCTCTCTGCTTTTTCTCCTTTTCCTTTTAATAAAACCCCCTCTTCCTTTTAAAGCGCATTAGATCAGTCTTAAATGCTCTTTGACCTGAAATAAACTCCAGTCCCCCTCCTTCCTGTCATTTTCCTACATTCCCCGTGCTAAGAATAAGCTCTATCAAGTTCATGTGTGATTTGGCTTAACATAATTATACCCCTACACCGCTACCTCTCTCTTTATCTCTCTCTGTCTCTCTCTCCCGCTCTCACTCGCTCCCTGGTGTCTCCTGTGGTCCTATAAACGGTAGACAATTAGCAGGGAAGGGTAGTTTTATTAATTAGCCAGTAACAAGGGATGAGCAAAAGAGGACTGATTGATGGATGGAAGGATTGTGGAGGAGACGTGTTGAGCTTGTAGAAAGTAAGATTGTACCCCTTATTCCCCTTGAAATCAATGAAACGAGGTGGTAGAAAAATTACTGCTTTTGTCCACAGGGGCCGCCAGACTCAACACGAAATGAAAGTTCCTTGTTGCTTCTTTAACAAAAACTTTCAAAGGTGAGTTATAGGATTCTAGGTGCAGTATGTGACTCTAATCCAGTACACTTTTTTCAGATTCAGCTAATATCTCCTCACAGTCGGCCAGCTTTCCGCCCAGCATGCACTCAAAAAATCTCCCGTGTTTGTCTGCAGCCCAGCCTCTGTAAATGGGAATCAAAGTGGTTCGGACCGAGCCACACAACGCCCAGGGACATTTAGCTTACTTTCTACTTTTCCGAGATATGCTGTTGTTGTGACGTTAGCTATAGGAGCAGGAGAGTTTTGAGTATCGCTGTCTGGTGTGCTGGCTCTGGGAAACCGTCTCATCCTCTCTGTGTGTTAGCTGCACAGCAACAACAGTACAGACAGTTTGCTAACGGTTGTTACATTACTTGCTGTGTCGTCGTCCGCTTTATATCATCGTGTTTGTCGTGGTATTGGATTTCTCCAGAATTGTTTACCCCACCTTTAATTTCTGCAATATAGAAACACAGTGAGATCAGCCTCATTCATTTCAATGAGACCCATGCTTCTCCCTGTAGGGGAGCTGAGCCAAAGGCCTACATCCGGTAAACCAAATAAATAATAATCATTTTGTAGCATAGCAATTTTTTAAATGTATATTTTAAATATATATAAGATTTTGCAAATTGTTTTTTTTAAGTATTTTTTGGGGCTTTTATTGCCTTTATGATAGAGACAGCTGAAGATAGACAGGAAAGGGGGAGAGAGAGGGGATGACATGCAGCAAAGGGCTGCTGGTTGGATTTTGGACACTGAGCTAACCGGGCACCCAACATTTTGCACATTTTTAATATTTATATTACAATTAGTATTATTGGTATTAGCACACCGGTGCAGACCCAGTTT